ATCTTTAATGTTAGTTTGAAGTTCAACTATATCCTTGTATTGTAGCCTTGTAGGTTGGTTTTACCAAATATAGTTATAAAATGTTTTGTTCTACATCATTAATATATCATTAACTAGATTTTGTCCCGCGTCCAAACGCGGAATGATTAAATAAATAAATTAATTGATTTTGACATATATAATATTTTAATATTTAAACGTATATGACATAACATATGGTTTCTAATATCTGTAAACATACAAAAATAATTCGTATTGTGCATAAATGTAATGAAGTTGAATATTTTTGATTAAACCTATGTTACTATCAATTTTAATATTTTTATTTGTAAATTTATCAAAGCATATGCAAATGTTATTTATTTCAATATCTTTTACATATAAAATTTATCTTCATTATTCGTGTAAATTATAGAACATACGATAAATCTAGATAAATTTTAGATTTATATGAATTTTTCAGATATAACAAACGGAAAATAATATATGTTTTCCAATAATGAAATGTAATTTATAAGTGTGATTAAATATATATAGTAGAGTACATATCATAATATTTTTTTGTATAATATATTAATCTAAATACATAAATACACAATATAATAATAAAAAGCTTGTTAATATATTAGAAAATAGATGTTATGGTAAGTCTAAAATATTATATTTAGTTGAGTTTACAAATTTAAAACATATATTGATGAGTTTATGTTAAAAATTAATGAGGATAGGTAGATAATTTCCACTATAGCATATACTTTAATTGAAATGTTTTGATTGGTTTAATTAAATGATGTGTCCCTCTTTAATTGACACCAATGATTTTTTCTCTAATGTTTCCTTAATTAATATATAGAGGATACACATGGCGTTAATTAAGATTTATATATAACTATCAAAATAGTATAAAAGAATTATAATAATTTAAGAAAAATAGTGGATGATAATTTTCAAAAACAATATATATACTGTTGTTTAATTTATTTTACCTTATAAAATATAAATTTTAAAACACAAAAATGTAACTAATCAAATTGTATATTCATATAAATATGATTCCATTTAATATTTTTAAACATTTTTAAAAATATTGATGAGATAAAAAATAAATTAGACTAAGCAATGATCTAAAAAAGTTTGTCTAAACAAATTTCTTTTTCCAAAGTACGGATTTTGTTTTCAAGATTATGATAAGGTAGCAAAAATGAGGAATAAGTGAAAATATTATGGATCCGATTTACTAATACAAAACCATATTAAAATTTTGATGTTAAGTGAATGATCAATTTTTTTCATTAATTGATTATTGTTAGTTGACATAAACTTATAGGAGGAAAAGGAACCAAGTTATAATACTTAAAAGTT